TGGGTCGTTGGGTATTTCTGTTTTTAATTTTCTGAGGAACCTCCATACTGTTTTCCAGAGTGGCTGCACCAGTTTGCATTCCCACCAGCAGTGCAAAAGAGATCCTCTTTCTCCACATCCTTGCCAACATCTGTTGTTGCCTGAGTTGTTAATGTTAGCCCTTCTGACAGGTGTGATGAGGTGGTATCTCAGTGTGGCTTTGATTTGTATTTCACTGATGATGAGTGATGTGGAGCATTTTTTCATGTGTCGGTTGGCCATCTGGTTGTCGTCTTTGGAGAAGTGTCTATTCATGTCTTTTGCCCATTTCTTCACTGGATTATTTGTTTTTTGGGTATTGAGTTTGATATCCCCTTTCATTCTTAACATATTACCTTGCTCCCCACTTCACAGAGAAAATACAAACCACTGAATGGAAATTCTTTTGACTCCATTCATTAAGAAAATATTTAATAAACACCTAGTATGTGTAGGCACTGGGATTTGTCAGTAAACCAGACTAACAAGGGCTGAGCTCTCGTAGAATTTCATTTTAGTGGGAGGGGAGATAGATGATAGACAAAAAAGAAAAAAAAAAGAAGACTGTCAGAATTTATGTGTAGTGTGCAGGGTGTAACCTGCAGGTGATGTGCCGGGCTACATTAGACTGCATCAGGGAAGGCCTCGTTGAGGAGATGACACTTCAGCTGAGATCTGAGTAACAGTGAATCTGCTGTGTGAGGATCAGAGAGAAGCAGAGGGAACAGCCAGTGAGAAGACCCTAAGACAGGAACAAGCTTGATGTATTTGAGCAGCAAAAGGCCAGTGTAGCAGGAGGGTACTGGGCGGGAGGAAGAGCGATACAAGATGATGTCAGAGAAGGAGGCAGACCTTTGTAAGCCAGGGTAAAAAATGTGGGGTTTTTCCCAAGTATCATGGAAAGCCATTTATGGGAGGATGACACGATGTGACTTGCATTTTGGAAAAACCACTCTGCTGCTCTATGAGAGTGGAATGTGGTGGGACAGGAGTGGAAGCAGGGAGACTACTTGAGAGGTTATTTCAGTTGATATGAGAGTTGATAGTGGCTTAGAGTACATGATAATAACAGAAATGGACAAAAGTTAGATTTGGGGATTGTTATAGGACTTGCTGCTGCTTGGATGTGAGCAGTGAAAGGAAGAAACTTGCAGATTTTTGGATTGAGCAGTGGGGGCACTCTTTGCTGACATAGGGGACACCGTGGGAGGAACACATTTGGGAGGGGTGCAATTAAGAGTTCTCTAATAGCTGTGTTAAGTTTGAGATGCCTATTAGATATCAAAGTGGACATGGCAGACAAGCAGCTAGATAGTTCCAGGGAGAGTCAGAGTTGGAGATAGAAGTTTTAGAGTGATTGGCATGTGGATGTTGTTTAGTTAGGATATTAGTTCATCTGCTGTAACAGAGAGAACCAAGATAATAGTGCCTAAGTGGGATTTTCTTTGTTTCTCATTGGTATAACTCCATGGTTATCAGAAATTTAGCCTCCATCTGTCTGCTTGAGGGATGCTAATCTTGCTATCAAGTCCACATTTTAGTCATTGGGAAGGAAGAGGAGGGAAGATGTCCTTCTTTTAAAAGCACAACCTGTAAATTTCAAATATTTCTTCATGTATCCTGTCAGAACATAGTCACAGGCTCACAGCTAGCAGTAGGGGAAGGTAAAGAATATAGTCTTGAGCTGGATTATCAGTTGCCTGGCTAAAAATTCTGATGCTAGTACAGACAAAGGATATGGAGATAATGGTGCACCCTGCCAGAGATGTCATTTAAAATGAAGGGATTGGGGCGCCTGGGTGGCTCAGTCGGTTAAGCGGCCGACTTCAGCTCAGGTCATGATCTCGTGGTCCGTGAGGGCTGTGAGTTCGAGCCCCGCGTCGGGCTCTGTGCTGACAGCTCAGAGCCTGGAGCCTGTTTCAGATTCTGTGTCTCCCTCTCTCTGACCCTCCCCCATTCATGCTCTGTCTCTCTCTGTCTCAAAAATAAATAAATGTTAAAAAAAATTTTTTTTTTTTTTTTAAATAAAATGAAGAGATTATAGGAGATTAACCAGGGTAACACGTAAATAGGGAAGAAAATGGAATCCACAACCAACTGCCGGAGCTAGTCAGCATTTAGAGTTCTGGTGAGGAGGAGGGGGCCAGTGGGAAGACTGAAAAGGAGTTGCCAGTGAGTCCAGAGGAAACCCAGGAGTGTGATAGCATTAAAGCCCAGAAAAGAAAATGTTTCCAGGAGATGGTGTTGAACGCTGCTCAGAGTTCAAGGACAATGTGAAAGAAGAATTGAACACTGGATCTGGCATCGGGTCTTTAGTCAAAGGCAGTCTTGTACTTTGTCATTTGTCACCACACTTCTATAAACACATGTCCATCCATCCTTTCCTCCATACCTCTTTACATTGGAAGGGTTGGCATCTCTTTCCTGCCCATTGCTCAGCCTTCTACCCGTGTTCTAGATCCGTACCCTTCCTGCCTTCTCAGGGACCTCAGGGGTATCCTTTCTCTACCATGATTCTTTAGCCTCCTCATCATTTAAACATGCCTTCGCCTCTCACGTCTGAAAACCAACCCCTTCCTCAACCCCATGCCTCTTTCCAGCTCTTCTCTTCTTAGCTAGGTCTGTTGAAAAATATGGCCATTTTCACTGTATTTACTCCATTGCACTGGTCAGAAAATATATGGAGAAAAAGTGACTGAACAGCTGACTGGCTGATAGACTAATGGAACGACCTGGCCTGACTGCTGATGAACACCTGGCCAAGTAGATGGAAAGCAGGGTGGATTGAAAGAATGGACGCACTGAACGATTAGATGAGGGGTGGGGGGTAAGTGGGTACTAGATTAATGTACATCATTTATTTCAGTAAATCAACAAAAACTTGATTTATTCTTTTTGGGAATAAAGGACCCTAGTGTCCTTAAGTATTTGGTACATGGAAATCTTGTTGAAAGTGCTTTAAAGGTATAAAGGAGAAAAGTCGATGTTTCTCTGATAGACTCATTTGAAGTCCTCTGGGTTTCAGGGTTAATAATGAGCACAACACATTGCTAATTTCTTTATTCTTTGGATATTTCCACTTCCAAATCATTGTAATGTGTCACTGGGTTCATCTAGGGGAGAATGTCCTTCATGTCCGGGATGCTGATACCCAAGACAAAATACTACAGGCACTGCATCTTCAGTTTGGCAAACAGTACCCTTGGTGAGTATATACCCTTTCTAAAGAAGTGATTTAAAAGGGGGAGCTGTGGGCACCATTTTTAAGCTGTGATCATTCTTCAGTCATTTTAATAGAGCTTTTGTTATATATCCCTAGGGGTCCCTAGCTGTCAGGGAGACAGGGCTTGGCAATAGAACCCCTATTACTCTACAGGGGTTCAAATGGAGGATAGCTGTTTTTTATTTGTCTCAGTTAATTAATATAGCACTTCTGCCAGGAAATACTGCCTTAACCTACTTTGACTTTTTATAAATATTAGAAAATAACTGATTTTCTTTAAAAATAGTCTAGTTCAGCATTTTAATTTAGACTGCTCACCTTTCTGTTTCAAATTAATGAGATTTTCCTTTATTTGGATGTTTGAAATGTTTGAATTCTGAAAATTACTTTTTTTTCCTCACGAATGTAAAGGTTTAAAAAGCAATAAATAAATAGATTCATTGTCCCAAATTATGTTATATTCTGAAATTGGCTTAACAAAGGTAATTTGTCTTTGATGATAGAGACATTTGTTAATGGTATCCCAGTCTGGAATAGTTGTATTTCAACCAACAGTGGAGTTAGACATTCCGTTGATAATACGCTGAAGATATCAGATGTTATTTTAAAATGAAGAAGCACAACTTTATTACCTGAAGTCTTGGTTTCTTTTAGTACCGTGTCCTCCATACCATTTCACATGTATGAGAGAAGCATTTAATTTGACTTTTTTGATACTGCAGTTCAAAGATATATGGGGATGGAAATGCTGTTCCAAGGATTTTGAAGTTTCTCAAATCTATTGATCTTCAAGAGCCACTGCAAAAGAAATTCTGCTTTCCTCCTGTGAAGGAGAATATCTCTCAAGATATTGACCATATTCTTGAAACTCTAAGTGCCTTGGCTGTTGATCTCGGTGGGACAAACCTCCGAGTTGCAATAGTCAGCATGAAGGTAAAATAATTCCTAAGTCTTAACTTCATACCTCATGTAAATAACTGATCTTTTCTTTAAAGTATGGTTGGAAGGTAGGACTAGAAACATACATTAGAGTTTATAATCATTTGCCCACAGGATTGACTTTTAGATCCATTACAATGTTTGTCTCGCAATATTTTACAAATTATTGACATTTCAGAGAAATAAAATTCTCCAGGAATCCAAGTTAGTGAGACTTGAATTAACCATGGGAGACCCCTTAGGCACCAGAGAGGGCTCTTGCCACCCAGGAGACCTGGAATTCTATATTTGGTAACAGCATGTAGCATGTTGATTATGGTCATTATCCAGAGGAAGACATCAGCAAATGGGGAAGGGAATTGCATCTCCTCTAGAACATGATTTTTAGTTAAGTACAGCATACTTCAGTCCCTTAACCAAAAAATCAGCACTGTTGACAGAGACTGAGAGAGCATCATAAAAACACTAAATTGTTCATGTTAAAAGATCTTTGATGACTTAAGAATAAACCTACCAGAGGGGCACCTGGGTGGTTCAGTTGGTTGAGCATCTGACTTCGCCTCAGGTCATGATCTTAAGGCTGGTGAATTCTAGCTCTGCATTGGGTTCTGTGCTGACAACTCAGAGCCTGGAGCCTGCTATACTCTTTTGGGAGGTTCTGGTTGGATTTACCCCCATCACTGCCCTCGCCATGTTAAACTTGGATACGGTTTTCCATCTACTCTGTTCTACCTTTCTCACCTTCTTCCCAGCTCTCGTGATCACCTCTGTAACATAAATACACTCCAGCCACATCTGGATCGCTGGGAGAAACCCAAGATAAGACCATCTTCCCAAATGTATCGTACACCACCTTTCATACCACTTTCTTCCCAAACAGAGAATATTAAGATTTGCCTCTAATGCCACCATGTCCAAAAATCTTGATTCAATGATTATGAATATCAATGACTCTTGTTACCAAGTTTAGAGGAGAGTTATTAAGGAGGAAAAGCCTTGAGAAGACTATTTTCAGAGCTCTTGCCATCAGTTACTCCTTGTGGCACCTACTCAACTCCACCCTTCTAATTTGCAAATTACCTACTCTGAACTAAGAAATGATATCCGCTTAAAACTGGGTATTCGCGTAAAATAAGAGAAAGAAGGGTCTACTAAGAGGAGAGGTAAAGCACTAGAGTTTAAGAGCACACAAGTTTGAAGCTATGATATATCTGGGATAAATATACCGGTGTCAACCACTTCATTGACGGTCTGTTTTTTCATTCCAAAGGCATGGTAGCAAATGGCAAAGTAGGCTATTCAAAAGTCCATCCCCCACTAAAGTAATGAATAAACTGGCAAAACTCAGAACCAATTTTTTTGGAACTTGAAACTAATCACAGGTTTTTAAATAACAACTAGAATGCTTACTCAAGAAAAAAAAACAACTGGAGTCTTACATTTCTGGCATTTTCTGGTCCCACCACCACTCCCCTGTGGCGGCAGTGGCCTTGAACCAGCCCACATCCCGCAGAGACGGCAGTACTGGAAGAAGCAGGACCAACTTCATTCTCAAACCTGTGGTTGTTGTTCTGACCTACTTGGCTGCTAGTGAGGACCACCAAGAGCTCACCTGTCATTGACCTCAGAACTCCCTAGAGCTGGGGAGGGCACTCAGGTGGCCTTTGTCAAAAACATTTAAAGGCAAAATATATTTATTCGCTCTCTACTGCCTAGGGCCACAGCTGACAGATGACGCAAATAATATACTCAACCAAGAAGACTGGCCGGGAGGCAAGCTGAATGAGAAGCTTTGGGGGAGTAAGAGCTTAACAGCTCGACAAGTTCCTAGCACCTGAGGTCCACACATGCCCAGGGCAGGCATAGCGGTCTGGAAGGCCCCTAAGTTTCCGCGGCGTGGGGCTCACCCTCCTGGCTCTATCATCACAGGTAGGAAGCGGAATCAGTTACACTCATTACAGCTCATAGTGCTGAAGGCATGCCCCAACACCCATTCTAGCTCCTCACAATAAAATTAAACAACCTCTCTAATTCCTCTTACCTGTACCCAGGATAAGTGTCACAAAAGTTTCCAGGCCCTTTCCTCAGCTTTGGGTCACCTCCCCTCCCTTCCTCATGGGCCTAGGGCAGCACATCACTATCATCATTGTCCACCCACACAGGGAGATGTATCAGACAGGGGGGGTCCTGAGTGTCCTAATAGAAATTCCATTCTTTTGAATCAGTTTAGCTGAATGTGCAGCACACCTTCCCTTTAGGATTTCCACTGCCACCTGAAAAAACAATCTGAGCTCCACCACACACAATAAGGAAAATAATGGCCTTCTTCATAAGCAAATTTTAAAAGTACAACTTACTGGCTTCACAAAACACTACAAGACTCCACCCAAGATCTCCTTCCTGGAAGACAAGCACACTAAAGATTGGTGTATGAAATGCGTTTCTGTAATTGAGCATGTAAAATCTGTAGCTCCCTCAACACCAATGTACCCATAATTAACAACACGGGGCTCCGTAGAAGTCCACGCTTTTTGGGCCCCAGATGGGCCCTGAGCTATCTTGTACATATTGTAGAGCAGGTATATATTATGATGAATGGTCACAACAGAATCATAGGAAAAACTCTGTGTCAAAATGAATATTTCAACAAAATCAGAGACCAGACGCCGGAGAGGGAGAAATGGGAACCCCCGTACTGCTGGCGGGAATGCAAACCCAGTAAGCCGCCTTGGAAAACCAGTGTGGAGGTTCCCAAAAAAATTAAAAAAAAGAGACTCATTCAAGGACCCAGTAGTACTTGCTAGGAATTTCACCCGGCGATGAGTACGATGCATCAAAATTCTCTCATCAAGCCATAGGAAACACTTCAACAACAATAGCCAAATCATGTGAGAGCCTATGGAATGTCCACCACACATCAACTGATGAATGGATAAAGAATAAAAGAGTATACAGGTGGGAATAGTAGCACAGAGGAAGAACGAAATAAGTATTCGGTAGCAAAATCTGGATGCAACTGAGAGTGTTATGCTAAGTGAAATGGCACAGAGAAAGACACAGATACCATACATTTTCACCTCTATGTGGACCTATAAACCAACAGAAGACCACATGGGAGGGAAGGGAAAAAAGTTACAGAGAGGGAAGAAAACCCATAAGAGACTCCCTTAAACTGGAGAGAATGGGGGCTTGATGGAGGTAGAGGTGTGGTGGATGAAAGTGCTTATGGGGTACGAGAGAGTGTCAAATTTGTGGGGAGCAAGCACACTGTGTTGTATGAAATCAATTTGCCAATAAATTTCATATTAAAAAAAAAAAACGAACATTTCTTGAGAATATGGCCCACAATCACCTACCTTCCCAAAATTTGGTAAACGGTTTACAGCTTTCCAGTTTCAACAACACTATCATCACACATCTAGAGATTTAAATTAGAACTTTCATAGGTTTTAGATCGAACTGAGAGCATTTTGACAATTTCACCCCTAAAGAGAAAAAACAAGCCCTTAACTTATTGATCTAAGTTAGAAGCAGCCGAATCTTCTGACCTTTTTCAATGACATACACATCAGACTTCCATAGGATATAGAGAGTACCGTAGATTTAGAGGGACTGCCTCAGGAAGCGTGAGCTGCTCTGATGTGCAATGTCGGGGCCGTAAGGTGTCCAAGTAGTGTTTCCTGATATAAACCATTCTGGCACATGTATTACTGAAGAACAACAATAATTACAGCAAATCACACGGCGCTCTCTTACGTGATAAAAGTCAGTGCTGGCGAATCACAATAATCTTCTACTTTAAAGGTCATAGTTTACTCTTTTCAGGTTGAAAAAACTTCCTTGTTTAAAAACTGAGGCACCTAATACATATCCTAGGAGGTAAGCTACCCTCCCATAGTGAAGCTTCTTGGTCATATATATGTCCTTAAAATGTTTGAATTTTCACTGTCAGGCCAGATCTGTTTTGCTTTTTCAGTCATATATTCTCTCCCAATTATGGTTTTTAAGTTTTTCTTTTGGTTTTCTCTCACTTGTGCATCATTTTGAGTAAATTTCTCAGAATAATGTTGCCAAACTTTAAAAACCACTGGAAATGTTGGACGACTAGAATTGTGGTTATTAAACTTGTAATTCAATTTTGGGAAAAAGTGTCACATTTTTAAAAATACTCAGCATTCTCTAATTGTACGCTTAGCCTTTACATTGTTTGCTGTTTTTATAATTTTCTTCATGTGTATTGAGATTGGGTGTGTTAGTTTAATGATTTCTTACAATTTTGGTTGTTGCTCTGAATAGGCTCTTTTTCCCTACCTGTTATTAAATGGATTTTAACATCTCATTTACAGGTTAAAGCAATCACTAATGATTGTGCATTAAAAGACACTGAAAGTGGGGGGCGCCTGAGTGTGTCTTCAAGGCTGATAAGCATCTGACTTGGATTTGAGATCTCACTGTCACCTCCTGCAGCTGACAGTGAGTAGCCTGCTTGGGATCACCACTGCCCCTCTCTTATTTGCCCCCTTCCTCTCCATTCCCAGGCACACACATGTGCAAAAGCAAAATAACAACATTTTTAAAAGGTAAACCTAGTGTTGTGTTTCTCAACCTTCAACAAATAAGTAGAAATCAACAGTGATGCCTCGACCTGCAGAGATCCAAATAGCCTGGGCAGACCGTGTTTTTAAAGCTCCAGGTAATGCTACTGGGCAGTCAGGCTGCAAAGGAAACAGCTTAACAAACTCACCAAGAGGAAAAACCCAAAATCCGCTGCCTAAAATTTCACATGTAAGTAGAGTTACTGATCTTTAAATTTATTTATGTATCCTTGAGAGAGAAAAGCACAAGCAGGGGAGGGGCAGAGAAGGAGAGATTGTGCTGTTTGTTCCCTTGTTTTATCCCTTGGTGGTGGAATTCCAGGCAGCAGCAGGCATAGTAGCCCTTCCAGGAAATAATGCTGCAGAAAACATTTCTTTTCCTTCTTCTGATTTTTCTATAGAATTTCAAATGAACAAAAGGGTAATGGTCGATGTTATAGAATATTGGATCATCTTCAGGTTGGAAAATCTCTAGCTATTTTTTTTGAATGCTTTATTTTCTTTTTGAGAGAGAGAGAAAAGAATGCGTGAATGCAAGTCGGGGAGAGACAGAGGGAGAGGGGACACAGGATCTGGAAGTGGCCCACACTGACACACAGTCGCAGTGGGCTCAAACTCACAAACGAAGATTAAGACCTGAGCCATGTGGCTGACACTTAATATCCAACTAAGCCACCCAAGCAGGTACTATATCTCTATTAATACTTTTAAAGAGTATTTATTGTGGATGAGGAGACCACCACTCTTTGAGAAATTAGAAGTTTTGCCTTTTGGCTCTCTATTTGATTCAAACAACTTTTATTTATTTTTTTTTAACTATTTATTTTTGAGACAGAGAGAGCAATGAACCGAGGGTCAGAGAATACACACAGAATTCAAACAGGCCTAGGCTCTGAGTCAGTAGAGAGCCTCTGCATCATGTGGGCTTGGAACTCACGGACCACAAGATCAATCAGTCATGACTCCGAGGTCAACCATGCCACCCAGGCTCTCAAACACAACTTTATTTTTAAGACTATTTTTCATGGACTCCTAAAACTTTATATATCCACAAGATTTTGCAGTAAACCTTCTGGTAGGCTTTTTTTTTTTTTTTTTCAACGCTTATTTATTTTTGGCACAGAGAGAGACAGAGCATGACAACGGGAGGGGTGAGAGAGGGAGACATGTGAACGAAACAGGCTCCAGTGACTGAGCCATCAGCCCAGAGCCCCTGACACGCTGCTGGCCTTCAAAATAACAACTCACGGACCGCCACCAGACGCGCATCTGGCTGAAGTCGACGCTTAACCGACTGAGCCACCCAGGCTTCATATAGCTTTTTTTTTTTTTTTAATCTTTAGCTCATTTTTAGAGAAAGAGAGCAATGCAGGAGGGACAGAGCAGAGAGGGAGACACATGCCAGTATCTGA